CATAAATGACATAGCTGAGCCTCTACATCTTGGGGTTCCTAACCTGTACACTATAATAGACAAAGTGCTAGTCTATAGGCCTTTTATTGTAAGAACCACCTTCCCTCTGTAACTTGATTTGTGCCACTGCTAGAACCTCTACTCAGAATAATATTATTTGTTAATTTTTGACTCATGTACTTTTAACTTGTTAGTTAAATTTATGTCTTCTATGTTGCAACACCTCCATGATACATCTTCAAGGATATGAACATGTACAGCTAAGCACAATTAATAACAGTGCATCTAAATTCCAAAAATCAATCTCCATAATAGTCTATGTGTTTCCTACTGCCAAAGGGGCCCTTTAGAGTAGTGAGAGAAGATCTTCACCCTGAAACCCACAGCGTCCCTCTTCAGCAGGAAGTAGCTAAGAGAATACACCATCCCCTTTTCCTTGTGAATCAGGGTGAAGTCTCACTCAGGGAGAAGTGATAGGGAATGGTAAAGGACACACTGACAAAGGAGATTAATCAGAACTGGCTTTGACAAGCACTATGGCAATTGGACAATTAAAACAGACATTGCGGGGGGAGAAGAACGAACTGGGGAGGAGGGTAGAGAAAACAGTGCAACAATGAATGAATGAGAACCCAAAATCTCTGTAAATGTTCATTAAAACTAATAAAATTTAATAATAATTAAAAAAACATAAACCCTGTGAAGATCAAAGTCACTATTGTCAAGTAAGAATGAATGCATAGATGTCCCTCCAGAAGATTACAGATGATGCAAATAGTACAGGAGCAGATTTCCCATCTTTATCCTATGAAGTGACTTGTGGATTTGGATAGATAGAGAGGTGTGGCCTTCTGGCTAGAAGCACAATTCTCTATAGACTTCATCAAATAGAAAAACATACATATAAAGAATTAAATATCATGTAGAGAATGCATATGAAAGGACATGTCATATATGTGACAGATGATTGTAGCTTTCATCATTACCACTGATGATATCATCTTCTACTTCATCAAGTGGTAACTGAAGGTTGGTAAATTTGGACATCATTTTCCCTCTTCAATCTTCTCTCTTCCTGGGTTTGAAACCCAGGAGAAACTATTTTTCCCCTTCTTCCAAGTTTGTGCTGCACCTAATTGTTGAGAAAGACGAGTGACATGCTGTACCTGTTTGGGCACCTGTCCAAAGTTGCTAACAAAGCCCAGGATGGTGCTTTTTATCAGAGGATCTTCAATCCTGCTGAAGTCCATCTTTTCACCATAAAAGTATGGGTGGAATGTGTTGACAGCCTCCACTGCAGCTGGACCTTGCTGTTTGTATCCAAAAATGAGGTCTATCCAGTGGTGGAGGTTGGCGCTGACAAAGTCACTTTCCAGAGCCTGTAACCAAGAGCAAAAAGAGCATGAAATTCACAAATCTCCCTGAGGCTCAGCCCTGTCACAGACTTCAGGGAGACACGTGTTTCAGGATGCTGCTATGTGTAGAAGAGTGGTGGTTCCTTCACTTAATGGATTCCAGAAGGCAGATGTACTAGCCAGTAGAAAAATACCTCTAAATCAAGCCTTCTGCTGCTAAGCCAATTCTAGCCCTTAGCAACTTTATATGACCTAATGGAACTAACTATTAGGTCTCCAAGACTGTGAATCTGTATGGGTGAACACTGTCTCATATTTCTCCCATGGAGGTAAGAGTGAATTCAAATCACTGACCTTTGATTTGTGGTTGTTATGTGCCATTATGCTGAACTGACTCAACGCTTACCCTCCAGTCGGTTTTTCAGAGGTCATAAATCATAAGGAAAGAGACTGTCTATCTTTCTCCTATTGTGTAGCTGGTAGATTTGGGTTAGAAGCCCAATCAATATTTAACTCACTGTACAACCAGAACCACTGTGCAGAATATAGCCTTCAATATGTATTATATCTTAACATCAAGAAAACAAAATCCTTACCATTGGATTAATATGCAACTTAATAATAGAGAAAAGTTTAAAATTGTCAATGATTTTGTTTTATTAGGATCCACAATGAAAACTCATAATAGCAGCAGTCAAAATATCAAAAGGCATGTTGAAATGAGAAAATATGCTGTCAAGGATCTCTTCAAAGTGCTAAAGAGCAATGGTGTCAGTATAACGACTTAGATGTGCCTGATCTAAGACATGTTTTTTTTCAATTACTTCCTATGCATTTGAAAGTTTAGCCACTGAATAAGCCTGATGGATGAAGAATTGATGCCTTTGAATTGTGGTTTTGGATAAGAGTACTGAATATCCCATAGAGTGCCAAAAGAATAAAAAAAAAAAGTCTATCTTTTTTCTCAGAGATAAAAATGGTGAAATCCTGTCTTGCAAACTTTGGCCATGTTTTCAAGATGGCCAGTCCATGGAAAAGGACATCTTACTGGGGGAAAATGGAGGATCAGAGAAAGAGAGGAAAACCTCCAACAAGGCGAATTGATACAGTGACTGTAACAATAGACTTGAGTTTATCTGAGATTGGTGCAGGAGAAGACAAGTTTTAGATCTTTTGTTCACAGGGTTGCTATGAGTTATCATTAACTCAATGGCACCTAACAAAAAAAGATCTCATACAATCAGGACTCTAGTGGAGAGTCACCTCAGTTCCTGCCTATGGCTAATAACAGAACTCCTTTGGCTGTTTCTACCACCTTTGTTCATCCACTTCATAAAGCATTTTGTGAAATCTAGGATATTGATAAATTAGCCTAGTATTGCTATTGGTCTAGGAGTGATAGATAAATTGAGTGACCAATTATATCCTTAGGGTTGAAAATGAATCCTTAGGGTTCTAATGAGATCTGGCACGTGGAGAACCAATTCTGACCAGAGAGTACCAGGTGGTGAGACTGAGTGCAATGAGCAAGGAAACACACTCTGGATCAGCTGCTGCTCTTTGAAACTGAGTGTAATCACTAAAGTTCCTTAACAACACTACTCCTTGTCTGTGTCTGCATACTGGAGGAACTTACCAGGGATTCACATGAAAACTGAGTGGTACAAGTGTCTGGTGCATAGCGGATTCTGGAAAAATGCTAGTGGAAAGCCCTGGGCCTGGTGTGGTACATGTGTTTGGGTTGTTTTTTGTTTGTTTGTTTGTGGTTTTTTTGGTTTATTTGTTTGTTTTTTTGTTAACACAAGCTTTTCCTGGTAGGTATAATTAACTTCACTGTTGGCCCAGGTTTGGGTGTGTTTTTTAGTTTCTCATTTCCTAGCTCCCAGGACTCAGCATCTTCTATGGAATATTTATCCTCTCTGAACAATTTCCCTCACTCAAATAAGTTCCACGCCACTGTCTAGCCCATCAAGATCCAATATGGGTCAGAGTAGAATTGGTCTCCACAGGGCTTCCAAAGGCTAGTGTCTGAAAGTTGATCACCAGTGTCTCTTAGAGAATTCTTTTGTTTGCTTGGCTCCACAATCAACACTCTTGGTACCAGCAGTCAGGAAATCAAAAGACGAATTGCATTGAGGAAGTCTGTTGTCAGGTACTTCTCCAGAGTACTGAAGAGCAGCAACATCAGTCTGTGGAGACCAAGGAGTACCTGTTCCAGGCTATAGTCTTTGCAATTACTTGCTATGTGTCAGAAATCTGAACAATGATTAGGGATGATAGAAAGAGAATGTCTTAGAGCTGTGGTGCTGGAGAAAGTATTGAATATACCATGGACTGCTAGGAGAACAAACAGGTTCATCCTAGAGAGGGTAGAATCAAGCTGCTCCTTGGAGGCAAGGATTCTAAGGCTTCGTCTGATAAAGTTTGGATATGTTGCAAGGAGGGACCAGTCCTTAGAGAGGGACATCATGCTTGGGAGGGTGGAGAGACAGCACAAGAGAGGACTGGGGTAATGGGGGTAGGTGTGTCAGAGACAATGAAGTTGGCAGATGATAGAACAGTTTTGAGACCTATTGTACATAGGGTTTCTATGAGTTGCAGGCGACTCAAAAGCACATAATAATCAACTCAGAGAATTCACATTACCAAATTTTCAGTTATGAGCTGAGCAGATTAATAGTTTAATCTGCGGCCCTCAGGCCGGGTTCAAATTGTTTCCCTGTCAAACATTCTTCTAGGTGGTATAGCACTGGTCTGTGCATTTCTGTACAGAGGTAACTCGTGGTTGCTGTGATGCTGAACACTGGGACACTGATGTGCCAAATGTGGTAATGGTTACCCATGGTGGATAGTGTTTACTGGAGCTTCCCGACTAAAACAAGCTTGGAAGCAGGAGCAGCATCCACTTCCAAAATGGCTTGCCTCCAGAAACTCTATGTACGAATAGAGCTCAGGTCTTTCATTCATAGGGTCGCTATGAGTCATCTACGACTCGACAGCACTTAACAACCACCACCACCACCACTACCACCACCACCACCCAGGAACTCTTTAATTCACTAAAGTACCTAGAAATTAACATTGTGATGTTCTTGTTGTTGTTATGTGCTGTTGAGTTGCTTGTGACTCACAGCGACCCTATGTACAACAGCTCAAACTCTGTTCTGTCCTGTGCCAATCTCATTGTCTCCTACACACTCATCCCGACTGTCCCAGTCACTGAGTCAACCCATCCCCCAGAGGGCCTTCCCCTCCTGCACCTACCCTCCACCTTCCCAAGCATGATGTCCCTCTCCAAGGACCAGTCCCTCCTTACAACATGACCAAAGTATGTCAGACGAAGCCTCAGAATCCTTGCCTCTAAGGAGCAGCCCGGTTTAACACTCGCCAGGATGAATCTATTTTCTTAGCAGTCCATGGCACTCTCAGCACTCTTCTCCAACACCAAAGCTCAAAAGCATCAATTCTCCTTCTATCTTCCCTGATCATTGTCCAGCTCTCTGACACATAACAAGTGACTGCAAAGACCATGGCCTGTACCAGATGCACCTTAGTCTCCAGAGACACATTGTTGCTCTTGAGTACTTTAGAAAGGTCCCTAACAGCAGACTTTACCATCGCAATACATCTTTTAATTTCTTGGCTGCTGGTGCTAAGAGTATTGATTATGACAGATGAAGAAAATATAGAAGTTGTATTCGATTAACTTCATTTGGATCTACAATCAAAATCCAGGATAATGGCAGTCAAAAATTCAAAGTATGTGTTGTATTGGGTAATACACTGTTCAGGACTTCACCAAAATGTTAAAGAGCAAGGATATAAATTTAAAGACTAAGGTGCCCTTGACCCAAGCCATGTTCTTTTCAAATAAATTTCAAGCTGGAAAACGAATAAGAATGACAGAAAAAAAATATCTTTGAGCTGTGGTGTTGGAGAAGAATACTAAATATTCCATATACTGCCAAAAAAGAATAATAAAATAGACAAATCTGTCTTGGAGGAAGTATAACCACCAAGATGCTCTTTAGAAGCAAGGATAGTGAAATTTCATCTCAATTACTTCGAGAGTGTTGTTATGAAAGCCTGGTCTTTTGAAAAGTACATGATAAAATTACATAAAGATGTAGGGTCTGAGAAGAGAAAAAAAATCCCTCAAGGAGATGAATTGACACAATGACTGTAACGATGGATGTGATCATATCAGAGATCATGAGAATTGTGCAGAATAGAGCAAGGTACAGATTTGTTTTCATAGGATCACTATGAGTTGTTGGTGACTTGATGACACCTAACAACAATAAGGAAGGGAAAGAATAGAATTCTAAGGAGTTTGTGCTCCTCTCATTGAGAAGCCTCTGCCCATTCGTGACACTTAAAGGTAAATGTGTGATAATTATGAGTAACGTTCTATGTACATTCTACGACAATGAACCAATCTACGTTTGGTTCGCTGTCCCATGCAGAAGAATAGGAGAACTGCCAGATTCAGCTATGAGTACAGCCTCCAGGTGGGATCCAGCACTATTCCTCACCTTCGGAACAAGGCTCCTGCTAAAAGCCAGGGATCTCAAACTCTAATTAAAGGTGACAACTGAAGTGAAATGGAATTAATTTACCAGAGGAGTTCAGACATAGTTCTTCAGATGCAAGCCAGGAAGCTCAGATTAGTGCACCAAGATCGGCAATATTTGACAGTAGTCACACACACACACGCACACAAGGGAAAATGCACGACAGAATCCACCTGGGAGATATAGCCCATTCCTAGCAATCAGAGACCAGTTCAGGCCCCGGGTTTTTCAACAAAGACTTTTAATTATCTGAATTCCCCTTTTTGATATCTCTGTGAGGGCATTCATTCCTATATCTGGCCTAAGGAAGCCAGTGTCCTGTCTCAGCTGAGCTTCTCTGAGTCAGCGCGCCAAAGTGACTTTAAGAACAAAAGGGCCACTCAGGTAATGTCATATTGTTGTTTTTCAGTGCCATTGCATCAGAACTGACCCACAGCCGAACTTCCAGAA